CCCCAATTCTTCAATACATGATTTACAATATGTCTTGAAATTACTCTTATTAAGTTTAATTTCAGATCTAACAATATTTTGAGTTAATATAGAAGGAAGTGGCATCCTGAAAATATACCTAAAAACCTAAGAAATTTAAATGATGCATTATTTTAAAGAAAAATAAAAAGAAATTAATGAACTTATTAGATTTCGCGTGGCTGTAAATTTGAAATCTCTTTTTTTCTAGGTTCAGCATGGCGGACGAAAAATATTTCCTTTTTTTTAAACAAAAAATTCAGCGGATGAAAATTTCTTCTTTTAAAAAAAATTTCTTTAGGATTCGACGTGGCGGACAAAAAAATATTTTTTTTTTAAGAAAAAATTCAAAATTCGACGTGGCGGACGAAAAATTCTTTCTTTTAAAAAAATTTCTTTAGGATTTGGCGTGGCGGTCCGAAGAACGTTCGTTTTCTTTAGGATTCAGCGTGGCGAACGAAAAATGTTCATTTTTTTTATTTTTTAGATTTCAGCGCGGCGGACGAAAAAAATTCGTTTTTATTTATGTTTTTTTAGATTTCGGCGAGGCGGACGAAAAATTTGTTTTTTTTATGGTTTTTTTTAGATTTCGGTGTGGTGGACAAGAATATTTTTTTTTTAAATTTCGGTGTGGAACTTTAAAAAAGATTTTTTTTTAAATATATTTAGGTTTCAGCGCGGTAAAGTCAAGAATATCCTTTTTTTTATATATTTTTTGAGTTTCGGCGTGAAAGACTAGAAATTTAAAATAATAATTTTATTAATTATTAGGGCGAAGATAAAAAAACTTCTAACATATAAAAAATAATTTTAAAAAAAAAATGTCCAGGACGCACAAAATGTCTCAGATCATTTCTGAATTTAGAAGGACGTGTCCGCATGACAATTAACATGACAGACAATATATTGGACATGGACAACGGACATGGGATGCAGACAACATTGTCTCATGCAAAACCCGTGGACATCATCTATGTACAACACTGGTTGTAGGGGTAGAGCTGAATGAGAGGTGATGACTTTAGTTCATATGTAATATCTGATGAGAAATATTATCATCTTGATCATCATTATCATAATGACGTTTACTATGTTGTACTTGATTGGAAACCCCATGAGAACGAATTTGATCATTACTATTGGCTGAATATAATTCCGTATAGTTATCCTTTTCAGTATCCAGATTATAATAATCTTTAAAGGGTCGTCTAGTACTAAATTGTCTAGGCGATGACCTAAGATCAAGACCAAATTGTCTGTGATCTCGTTTATAACCTTTGTTAATTGACTTGGATAATAAATGACTTGTATAATCAATATTAACATGATCATCTTGGATGTTTGACAATGATCAATTGGTTCATTGTTCATCTTGGATGTTTAATGATCAATTTGGTTCATTGTTCATTTTGGATGTTTAATGATCAATTGGTTCATTGTTCATCTTGGATGTTTAATAATCAATTGGTTTGTTGTTCATCTTGGATGTTTAATAATCAATTGGTTCGTTATTCATCTTGGATGTTTAATGATTGATTGGTTTATTATTCATCTTGGATGTTTGACAATAATTGATTGATTTGATCAATAGTATCTTCATTTTGATCACTAATTCTTTCTTTTGAAAGTAATGATCTAAGAATTCATTCTAGATCGTTATTATCATTTTTAATCTTTTTATTAGTAATTAATGATAAAATAGAATCATATTTCGAATCATCATCAGGGTTATAGTTCTCTTTTGCAAAAGGCTTAATAGGTAACGATAATGATTTAAGTTGATCGTCTTATTGAATATTGGCAACTTCAGACGCTATTGCATCATCATCATCATCATTATCAGAGATCTTTTGTACTCGAGAAATATCTTGTTAAATATCAACATTTATAGACAATACTTGATTATCTTAAACATTATTAAATGAAACTGTAAGTTTTACTTCTAATGAATTAAATTTTTTATCAAAACATTTCAAAGACTTATCAGGAATTTTGTATTAGTTTTTTGAATAGTTTTTTGATTAGCACACAGTTTAGCTGTTTTGGGTGCTGATGCTTTTCTTTTTTTTATCATTTGCTTCTTTTGTTAGACCTGAAAAAACGTATTTATAAGAAATAATTTTAAGAGAAAGTTTGTTGTATTTAAATGGTAGAAATCATAACACAAGATAGTATTTATAAATTCAAAACAGGATTTTTTATAGAAATACCGATCATCACATGTGATATCAAATATAGTAAATATGATCATTGTGTAACATTATTCATGTCAAAAAAGATGTTAGTAAAACTTTTTTTTTAAAAAATAAATTTCTAATTTTTATTTTTTTTCAATATGGTTAAAAATATACGTAAAACAATTCAAGTAGCAAATTTACGGCAAGTAATTTGTCCAAGAATCGGTAAAAAGGTTAACCTTCAAAAAATTGTTTAACAAACCTCTGAACACAAATATTAATACACATACTTAAAGTAACTTTGTTAAATTTTCTTTACTTCAACTTAACTTTATTAACAATGAAAGTTTTGATTTGATTTCACAACAAGAGAGGAATAATATTATAACACCTAATAATATACAAAATGCTACACATAACCTTTTTACAGATGATTTATATATAAATGAGAATAGTATTAATGAAGACGAATAAGAGAACAGTGTTAATGAAGGCGAACAAGAAAACTATTCATTGGAATCTAATCATGATACAGATAGTAGTGAAGATGAGATTTCTTTTGAATTCAACAATCAATATGATAGGTCGCTAAACATACCTGCTTATTTTGATATTGGACCTTACTTTCCTAATAAAACGGTGATGATGATGTTCATTTGGCATACAAAACACAGGATAGGTAACAATAAATCATGCTATTTTAGAATATTCACATTTTTTTACATTTTTTTAACAATTATCTTATTCAATAAATCAACAGGATCTCACGCATATTAAGACCTAGCAAAAATCTTGCAACATCTAGAATTTTGCGTATCCAATCTCCCTCTCAGTATTACAACGTTAAAATGAATGCAACGTGATCTGTCATTGATAACTCTCAATAGCTATAATGTCAAAATTAATCCAATAGATATCCCGTTTACTTATAATTCTCATAAAGAAGAGTATATCTTTTATATTCTCGATCACCTCCAACGTATTCTTAATAATCCATTTATTTATCCAAAATTATACTTTAGTCCTGGTGTCAAGACTTCAGAAAGGTTAGAATTATGGCATAGACAAATATGGAAAGAGTCACCAATATTTGGTGAAACATCATACAGAATCAGAAATGGTAATATTTATAGTTTATATTTAACGCTGTGATTAAACTCAAAGAATATTTATCATTATTTCTTTAGTACTTTATCAAGCTGGAGATTTTGGGATCTATCATATTCAAGAGGAAACAACTGTATATCAACAATTGGGACAAGTCAATAGTATTGTAATACCTAAAGAGAATAGTAACGAAAAATTATTATACATTTAAAAGATTTTATATTACGCGAATCTTCCAGATAATATGAAATTGATTAATTATTTAAAACAATCTCAAAATAACACTGTTTAGTTAACTGAAGAATGAGAAATAATTCAAATTAATGATGTGATTAGTCATGTTGATGTCTAGTTCAAAGATTCAACAGAATCTGAGAATTATGATTATCGAATTGGAGAAATTCTGTATACTCAAAACAATCAACCAAAAATAAAACGTATATATCAATGACATTAATTACCATATTGATACAATTTTCAGAATCCATCTAATCTTCACCATTTGAAGTTCTTCATAGATTTATATTACGATAATTTTGATACATTTGGTAAAGTATATCATAAGCTAGGTGGATTATATGTACAAATTAGAAACATATCACTTTTGATGCGACAGTGTCTCAAAAATTATTTCTTGGTTAGTTTTGTTCCGTTTGGTGTGAAAATTGAGGACTTTATTAAACCTTTTATTTGTCAAATGCAGAAGTTGCAGGATGGAATAATTATGACTAATTGTAATAGTAAAAGAGTATTTATTTCTGAATGTCTTGGTATGTGCACTGCCGATTTACCACAAGGCAATGATATGACAGAAGTTCAATGACATAATGCAGATCGAGGATGTCGTTCATGTGAAATAACATAGAGAGAACTTAATAATCTTCATTTCGATATTCGAATAAATGGTAGATATTATCATATTACAGATTTACAGTTTCAAAAAATCAAACAAGCACCTACAAAGTCTGCTAAAGAAAATATGGCTAAACAGTATAAATTATGTCTCAAAAAAAATATTATCAATCAACTTATTCGCAATCATCATATACAAACCCTCAAAATCCTTACCATTGTTTAGCAGGCTTAAAGCTTTGCATAAGCCGAGCCGCTTGCAAACCAAATAAGCCAACTCGTTTAAGCTCAACTCAAGCCACCATAAAACGAGCCGCAAATCAGACAAGCTGGCTTGTATTGTGGCTTGGCTCGTGTCGCAGCTCGACTCGTTGGCTTGTATTTTCTTCTTTGAAGAAAATAAATCCAAAGGCAGTTTTTCTTCGAAGAAAGCTGCTCCGATGGCGTTTACTTAAAGAAAAATGGCCCTAGTGATGTTTTTTTTGAAAAAAAATGGTACCAGTGACATTTTCTTTAAAGAAAAATGGCCCCAGTGACGTTTTCTTTAAAGAAAAATAGCACTGGTGACGTTTTCTTTGAAGAAAATGAACCCAGTGACGTTTTTCTTTGAAGAAAAATACATCCGGAGCGTTTTCTTTAAAAGAATTCACTTCTAGAGCGTTTTCTTTAAAAGAATTCGCTTCTGAAGTGTTTTCTTTAAAAGAATTCGCTTCTGGAGCGTTTTCTTTGAAGAATTTTGCTTCCAGAGCATTTTCTTTAAAGGATTTCGCTTCCAGAGCGATTTCCTTGAAGGAAAATGCTCTGGAAGTGAAATCCTTTAAAAAAATCGCTCCGGAAGTGAAATCCTTCAAGAAAATCACTCCAGAAGCGAAATCCTTTAAGGAAATCACTCCAGAAGCGAAATCCTTCAAGGAAATCACTCCAGAAGCGAATTTCTTAATGGAAAATGCTCTGGAAGCGAAATCCTTTATGGAAAACGCTCCGGAAGTAAAATCCTTTATGGAAAACGCTCCAGAAGCGAATCCTTCAAGGAAATCACTCTGGAAACGAAATCCTTCAAGAAAATCGCTCCGGAAGTGAATTCTTTTAAAGAAAATGCTCCAGAAGCAAATTCCTTAATGGAAAATGCTCCGGAAATGTTCCTCTCAAAGGAAATCATTCTGGGAACGCATCTCTTGATGAGAAACATTTCTCTCGACGGTTTTTTGTTTCTAAATATAAATGCAAACTGAACGAGCCAGCTTGCAAGCTGGCTTGGCTTGGCTTGGCTTGTCAATTGATCTCCACGATCCAAGCCGAGTCGAGCCAAAAAAAAGTGGCTCGACTCGAGCCGGTAGCAATCCAAGCCAAGCTGGCTTATGCAGAGCTTTATATATATGTCACGTAATATATACTTTAAAAAATTTATTTATATGTAAAGTTGAACGATAAGGATCTACACCTCTCCCTAAGTATCACCAACAATATTTTTACCCCACATATCACATAATCATAGAAATATTTATTACCCTGTATCATATCTTCCATGTTTTCTATTTTCATAAGTTTTCTGAAAACTTAGAATTTTTTTAGGATACAAAATCATATTTGTCACCTTTATTTATCATAAGATTAATTTCTTAATGTTGTGATGCCAGCCAAGCATCACGTGAGGTGAAAAAATTGTTAGTGATACTATAATACATACTATTTTGCAGAATTATCATGTGATACAATTTATTTATATAGAGAATGTAAACTAAATTACCAATAGTATGAAAGATCTCTTATGACATAAAACTAGAATTAGAAATAGTCTGATCTGATATGATCTTTAGTAGTCTTTGAAAAAAAAATTAGATTGAAACTAAGACTGAAACTAATGGTCTTATAAAATCATTAGTCTTTTAATTTAGACTGGTCTTTTAGACCGTCATTCTAATAAAAAAAATTTTTAACAAATAAAATTTAAATACCATAAAAAATATATTTTATTGGATAATGTTTATTAAATTTTAAAATTACAATTATTATATATATGATAACATATATTTAATTCATACTAATTATCTTCAACTACTATAATTTTACCTTTCAACCCATCATTTTTTTTCAATATCCTTATTTAATTTGACCTTTAATAATCTATTTTGATAGCTTTAATTTTTTGTTTGAAGGTTGATAATTAGTAGAAGCTAAGAAAAGAAAAGAATCAGCTTTGTTAATATTCAGATGATATTTTTTAATTATAAATTTAAAATTTGCTACACTTAGCATAGTTTATTATTTATTGTCTAAAATAAAAGTGGAGGACATTTACATTCTGTGCAAAAGATCAAAATATTAGTCAATTACTATAGATATTATACATGTTATATATTTTTTTTTTTTTTATAAGTGCAGCAATCTCACATGATCTTTATTAATATTTATGAAATGACAAGAAAAACAAAATAAAACAGAAAATACAAAAATATCTATAAACTAATCTAGTGAACTAAACTACTTTATCAATACCAACCTTGCACTTTACTGAACCAAACTATACATTAGAAAAGAAAAGTAAACTAATCTAAACTAAAATATAGATATCAAATGTTCAGAAGGGAGAGCGTGATTACTGCCAGACCAGAAATTTGACCAGTGGGTACCATAAGCAATTGCCGCTGTAAATGAAGCAGGATTATGTGAAGGTATTTGTGTAAATCAAAGAAAACCAGAGGATATCCAAGCTACAGTGAAATCATTTTTAATGTTATTAGAGGTTTTTTATGTTTGTAGTGATTCACATTTATTCAACCATATTTTGTGGATTAAGCCAAATATGTCATCAAATAAGGACGACATAAGACCTAGGGTAAGTTGTTTATTATTGGTGATGTTATTAATTGATGTGGTGAATGATGAAGGAATAATCCCTTTTAATAGATCTATGAAACACAAATTGTTGTTTATTGAGCTGTAGTCCCATAACAGAAAGTGTTTTATATACAAGATATGTGTATCATTATTTGGTCTATTAAGTTCTTTAAGTTAGGATATGAATGATCGTTTGTGCTCAAGAATGATATTGTTAAGTGGAGTTATATTATTAGAACAAGTCTAGATATGATCAAAGTCTTTAATCATATTAATACAATAAAAACACATATTAGAAGTATAAGTTTGTGAATACTGCACATTCATAATTATCAAAGTGAGGAGTAATTGTAAGATCAATTTGAGTTTGAATTGTTTTCTTTTACATGCATCAAATGATGTTACCCTAGTATTTATTAAGTCATTAAGGACATAAAAGAGAGTTTACCAATCAATATTATAGTTGCTATATCTAGTAAGTTAGGGAAGAGTTAAAAATGTTTCAGCCTAAGAGGCTTGTTGCAAGTGTTTAATGAATAGGCGAGGCGGAGTGATAATTGGTATGTTATTATAACATATAAAATATTTGGAATCTAGGTGATTGTTGTTGATACGCAAAGAAGCACTAGAAGATTATTTTGCTAAGGTATCTACTTTATTATTAAATTGATTTAATCTGTGAGCTTTGACTTTTGTAAGTGTTAACGTTATGTTATGAGTTGTAATAAGTTGTATTAAGATCATCCAAATATGAAAATATGGGATTTTGAACGCAGGATTTAAGAAGGAGATTTCTCACATATATCAATAATCCTATGATATGATGCAATTGCAGTTTGTGAATCAGTATAGATTTCAATATTAGACTTTGGTGATGCAGTATAAATTACAGCAAGAATAGCAACAATTTCTGCTAATGTGAAGAAAGGGGAGTATGACACAAATGTTGCATTAAATGAGATTTGAGGCCAGTTCTGGTCTGTATACATGTTATAGATGCCTGCTGAAACCTTCTCAAAATAATTTCGTTATACCCTTTTCTATGTTTTTAATATAGTTTTGACAGTTTCAGCTTTTGTCGTATCGAATGGGTTTCGTCATATCCTTTATTATTATTTTAATATAGTTTCGTCTAAGTTTTGATTATTATTAAGGGATTTCATTCTTCATCTATAATACATGTGATTAGTGTAACTAGAATTATTATAATTAGAGCATAGAGCAAAAAATGTAAGTCAGTCATTATTACACTATAGCATTTGAATTAAAATATAACATAAAGTTAGAATGTAATATTTTGACATTAAATTCATTAGGTTAGGGTTATAGTTAGGGTTAGGAAGTTCAGAAAAAAAGGTTTTTTAGAAAAGTCAGCTATAAGTTATGTAACTAATAGTTACGTAATATTTCTGATAAGTTACGTAAAATTAGGGTTAGTTCGTAGTATTAAAGTAAGCCATTTATAAATAATAATCAAAATAATGAAAAAATCTCTCATATTTATTATTCATCGTAAAATTATTAAATGTAATATTTTACTAATTAAATGTAAATGTAATACTAAACTAAAATAAAAATATCAAGCTTAAAAAAAATAGAACGTAATAACGTGATGTTTCATTGACTAGTATATTTTAAAACACATAAATGTAATACGTAAAGATACATCTATTAATGAAAAAGATTAAGGATGATCAATAAGATGAAAAGACTATCTTTTATAAAAGACTGATCTTATAATCAATTCTGTTTGATCTGTCTCAAAAAAGATTAGTATAAAACTGATCTTATAATTAGACCAATGGTCTTTCAGATCATTTTTATTTCTATGCGAAACTATAGATCTGACAATTTTATTTCAACAAGAAAATGTTTATCTCATCAGTAGCATGCTCATTTATTAAGCATAAAAAGCTATTAATAGTGTTATAGTGCAAATGTTCAGCCATTTATAATATACAGCTTCCTTTAGTTTACGTTTCTTATTTTTAGGTGAAAAGAACATCAATTTGATATCTGCAGCAGGTGATACTGATGCTTTAGTTTACTGTCTACCCTAATTTCAATACTGATCAATATAGTCAAGTCATAATATGAGAATATGTTTATGATTGATTTCTTTGCTACTTAGAATAGTTTCTTTTTTTTAAAAAAAAAGATAAGTTTTATCAAAGTAAAATTTTATCATTGAAATTTTTTGGTTTAAATAGAAAATAATTTTATTTTACTTTTTTTATGTGAAACTGATTTTGTATCTTGTAAAGAGAATATTATGCAAAGTTCTTATTATATAGACGTATATAGAGATTTGTATTTATATTTTAAAAAATTTGGGCAGATATGAGTTTTTGGATTTAGCAAACATGAAAAATCTATTAAATTGAATAATAAAAAGAATTAATCAATCAATCTTTGATTTTCTGATAAAGAGTATTTTAGTAGCTTTTTTTATCCTGAATACGATTTCGTCTAAAAAAATTAAGTAGTTAGAAAGTATAGTTTTTACCTGTTACATCTATCTTGTATTTAAATTATATTGATCTTTTCATTAAATAAATTAAAACAAACATGATTGAAATTATAGTGATTTCTTATAATATTATATTTTATAAACATTATCTTTTTATAGACAAAAGAGTAAATAAACCATATTAAGGTCAATGAAAAGTAGTGTTCTGCAAAATCAGATCAGATCAGATTTTATCCAAATCTGATCCGATCTGATTTTCATTTTTCAGGATCTGAATCTAATCCGAATTCGATGGATCCGTTGAAATCCAGATCTGATCTGAATCTGACAGATCGAATCTCAAATCTGGATCCGACAGATTGGTTTGAATCCAAATTCGATCTGATCTGAATCTGAAGCTTTATTGAAAAAATGAATTTTCGGTTCTAAATGAGATCTGAAAATGTTTCTTTTCAATGAAAGGAACCTTTTCAGCTTTAAAAGAGTTCTGAAAAGTTGTTTCTTTTTATTGAAAGAAACCTTTTCAGCTTTAAAAGAGTTCTGAAAATTAGTTCTTTTTCAATGAAAGGAACTTTTCAGTTTTAAAAAAGATCTGAAAATTAGTTCCTTTTCAATAAAAGGAACTTTTCAGCTCTAAAAGAGATCTGAAAATTAGTTCCTTTTCAATGAAAAGAACTTTTCGATTCTAAAAGAGATCCAAAAATTCGTTCCTTTTCAATAAAAAGAACTTTTCAGTTCTAAAAGAAATCCAAAAATTCGTTCCTTTTCAATGAAAGAAAATAAATATTCAGCTCTAAAGAAGTCTGAAAATTCGTTTCCTTTCAATGAAAGGAACTTTTCAGCTCTAAAAGAGATCTGAAAATTGGTTTCTTTTCAATGAAAGGAACTTTTCAGCTCTAAAAAAGGTCTGAAATTAAATTCCTTTTTAATGAAAGGAACTTTTTGGCTCTAAAAAAGATCCGAAAATTCATTTCTTTTTAATGAAAGGAGCAAATTTTCAGATCTAAAAGTGTCCGAAAATTTGTTTCTTTTCAATAAAAGGAACTTTTCAGCTCTAAAAGAGATCTGAAAATTGGTTCCTTTTCAATGAAAGGAACTTTCAGTTCTAAAAGAGATCTGAAAA